GCTGGGACTGTGGGGCGGGCGGCGGAGACCTGCCTTGCGGGGAAGCAACGACAAAGAGGGGGGAAAAAAAAAGAAAAAAAGGAAAAAAAACAACAAAAAGACCCAGCAGGATCCGAAGGAGACGTTAACGCCATTTCCCCCTCCTGCCTCCCCTCCCCTCCTTTTCTAGTCTCTACTCCTCTAGGCCAGGGCAGAGTCAATCAGCTCGGAGGAGTGTTTATCAATGGCAGGCCTTTACCCAACCATATCCGACACAAGATAGTGGAGATGGCCCACCATGGCATACGGCCCTGTGTCATCTCTCGCCAGCTGAGAGTGTCCCACGGCTGCGGCTCCAAAATTCTCGCCCTTGCGCGCCCGCCCGGAGCCGGGCAACCCCGGGCCGGGCAAGGCACGACCGGGACTCGGCCCGGGGTGGCCGGCAGCGGGGTTTGCATGCGGGGAGGGGGCACCCGGGGAGGGCTGGGGGGACCATGCGAGGCCCGGGGGTGGGCTCGGACAAGCACCGCGCACAGCAGTGCCCGCCGCGTCTCCGCCTGTTGCTCTGAAACTTTCCGAGGCTTCGAAAATACTGTTGGAGCTCGTGGCTGTTGCTGTTGGGGTTTTTTTGTTTTGTTTTAATTAATAAAACGCTATTTTAAGAAGTAACTTCTCAAACGAAACTAGGGAGAAAGGGATGGTTTTGCTAAGGCTTTACTGTCCGAAGCCCCGAGTGCCCCACGCTCAGCCTCTCGGGGGCCGCGGGTGGGCTCGGAATTGCCGGGACGGACAGGGGCAGCAATCGGTCAGATGTGAGGGCTTCAAGAGCGAGGTGGGATCGGGCCCTCGCTTCTTTCGTTGCAAAGCGCAAAAAAATTGCCTGTGTTTCTGGCTGTTGTCTGCCTACCGCTCCTTCGCCTGCTCTGTGTGTTTTTCTGCCCGCTCCGAAGCCGCGTGTATTTATAGCTACACCGCCGAAAAGTTTGCGCTCACAATAATGCAGACAAATATGGAGCCTTCTCTCCTCCTACTGTTGCTTTTCCTTCCCACAGAAGCGAAGTAAATAATTGGGTTTCTGCTGCAAGTTGCTGCTATATTTCCCCCCTCTTTTGTTGCTTCTAAACCAGCAATGGTTGGACTTTCCATTTCAGTGTTAGGAGTAGAGTTTTTATTTTTATAAATGTGCTACCGAACGAAAGGCTGTTCCCAAACGTGAGGCTTTTGTTTTGTTTGAATTCGACTTATTTTTAAAATCACGAGGCAATCGAAGAGACCTCTTGGTTTTACTCGGACCTCTCAGCGCTTTTCATACACGAGTTTTGATTTGGCGCTGCCAACTTTGTTCAGCCGAAACTTCGCTGCCTTGGAGCTTCGCTCACACGGAGTCCTTCTCTAAACCAGACCCAGAATTTTCCCGGGATTTTTGTCTCGGCCGTACGGTAGCTGATGCTGTCTAATTCGGGGTTTTCCTAGCCGAGGGCTCGATCCCACCTTTCCCTGTAATCCTGAAGGATTTCCTGGGAAATTTCGTTCCATCCGGAATGCCTGTTTTGCGCTGGCCCGTTGTTACCCTTCATGTCCCTTCTGTATTTAACCTGCCGGTGCTCTGGGTGGTTTATATCGGGGTCACTAAGCGGAGCCGGTGTCTGCATTTGCTGCCGGCGGGGTGGTGGGCAGGAAGGCTCCT